CTTCATACAATCCATGCATGCATTACAATGAGATATTAGCACAAAGTATAAGTCAGCAAATACTCTGTGTTTTTGTCTTCTACTCTGCATCAGCTACTAAAACCGTTTCTCTTAAAAATGTCGTCTTGCCAGTGAAAAGGACCTTAAAATCTGCAGTGACTAATATATAATAAACATAGCCCGATCAGTTATTAGTTTGGAATAGAGACCCAACACTTGATAGTTGATAATAATGTGAGTATATAATGTCTCACATGTTAAAGGGCCAGTGTGTAGAAACTCAGGGGATCTATAAAGTGCTGCAGGATGATGTATGTTTGTAGACCAAACAGGAAGTTATCATCTCACTGGTTCCCTGGACTAAAAGCCAAAGGTATGTTTCTGTTGGATTATGGATTATTGAAAAGATGAATGATGACTGACAGCTGTTGAAATGTCAGTTGCAGGTTTGAAAGGTTCATCTGAGGCTGTGCATCATTTGTGTGATCTGAAAACATTTCCTGTTACTCTGCTGATGTGCTCATGCTCAGGTTTTTGGTTTGAGATTAGATTGACCTTTATTGTTGCACTGAGAGGACAACATGAAGTATAAATACACACTCATGGGCCTTCAGCTGCCAGTGAGCCTTTCTTCCTTCAATAAACCACTGGACTGATCCTGTCCGCCTGCTGTCACCTGAGTCACCACATGGTGATGAATATTTAATGTTCATAACTGTAGAACCATTTCCACCATTACGACTAAGAACACTGACAACAAAGTGCTGCTGAAAAAGTGACTGCATCTATTTAAAATGTGGTTTATTCATAAAGATTCATGTGTTTTGATCTTTTCATATTTGTTGGAGAAACTCTGCAGAGGATGCAGATGTGTTTCAGTTTAAATGAAAGGAAGCAACTCGAGGTTGAAAAATAATATAAAACTTTATTTTAGAATAACTCTCATCAGTAGTTTTAACACAAACATCATCTCAACATTTTGTACAAGTTATCACTAAAACAGCAAACTCACTGAGAACATGATCATGAAACATAAACACAGCTCGTCAAACATCATTTGGGTCAATTTTCCTCAAACACTTTACAGTCTTGTGATTAAAACACAAACAGGAAGTCACCGTTAGTTCAAGACAAATCTCTCTATTTCTATTTCACTAACAGATCAAACAAAAGGGAAAAGCCTCAAACGATGACTTGTCATGAATAAGATCTTCTCAAACTGTTCTGATCTTCTTCAGAACAGCGCGGTTCATTCTGAGACTGATCCTGAACGTCTCTCTCCTCTCAGTCTAGAGTCGGTCCTTCTTGATCTTCAGCCATCTTTTTCCCAGAATCCTCTCCTCTCCACACCTGCAGACAGGAAGTGTAGTGATGAGCCAAAGGTTGAAGCATTTAAAGTGACACTGTTTTGTTGGAATGATGACGAATGGAGGAAAAACTAAATTAAAAGGTGCATGAAGGCTTTGGTGTTTGTCAATATTTACCTGATTCATTGAGGTCTTGATCTTTTCTCATCCAGATATTTGATGTAAGTTCTCACCCATTGTTTATCGTTAGGGTGGGAGACGCAGAGTGTCCTTCCACTCTTTGTGATGAACCTGTTGAAGCAGATGAGAGACAGAGAAGTGAGATTAGACAGAGCTGGAAAAAAGAAAAGAAAGATTCCCTTTGCCTGATTGATATAACACTATATGTGAATACTTGAGCCGTGGTTGTCACTTACCCAGTAGCGCTGATTCCACATCCTTTCCCAGCTTCCTGAATGGTGTAGCTCTGAATGATTCTGAGCGGCATGGGCTTCTCAGCGACCGTCAGACAGCAGTCCACCACGATCTCAGCTGCAGGAGGACGGAGAGACAAAGTCATCATCAGGGAGAGCAGGTGAGTCAGAGAAAAACAGAATGTAGAACGGGAGGATGAAACCAACAGAGAGGTGGATTTATCTACAGAAGCCTCGACAGATGGATGAGTCTCACCTGATGCAAAGCCAACACAGAGGACTCCCAGCAGGAGCAGTGCAGTCGTAGAGGCCATGTCTCTGGTGTCTTCGTAGCTCTGAGCTCAGGTTTCAGAGAGTCTCTTCAGGAATGTGAAGGTGCTGCTGTGAGGAGGAGAGCTGCAGGTGTATTTATACAGCTGTGGAGCGAAAGTGAAAGTGTGATGGCTGCTCATTGACTGGAAATGAGACGAAAGGTTTTGGCGCTGGAACCGACTCCTCGCAC